AATACTACTTTAATTTTGGCTTCTTCATAAGTGTATGTAACTACTTATTTATTGCTGCCTGATAGAATTCCTTATTCTCTGCACATCTATGCACATGCACATCTAGTTCAGTCGCATTTTCTAATGAAGGGTGAGGGGAGAAGCGCAGCAGAACTGGCTCTGGTATCACTACTGGAGAGGGATGTAAGAGTTTAGAAAGGACTCCGCAGTTGCAGCCTAAAATTCTAGACTCTGGAGCCAAGCGGTGAATAGGCATGAGACTGAATCCTAGATAGATATTAAAAAAAAAAAGGGAGGGGAGAAGGAGCGCAATCAAAAACAGTTAAAAGGTTTGCAAATGTTTCGATGTGGCTTGTGCAGGAATTTGGGGAGGGGGGAGTTTGTGTAGGAATTTGAGGGCAGGGAAGGGAAAGCATTGCTCTCCATTCCTCCAGCTGCTGGTGTTGCTCAGAAGTAATATAAAAGGAAGGAAGATAAAATAACTGTATTTTGTCCAAACTGATCAAGTTATAACAAGGGAACTGTAATTCAGCTAGTGTGTCAGGATATCATCTCTTGATTTCAGTTTTTCAATCCTGTGTGTTATTGGCTCTGCTGACAGTGATGAGAGACAAATTTCTCTGCTGTTGGCAAGAACAGAGGAATTCACACAGGCATAGTGTGACAGAATTCCCCACATAAAAACTATCCTTGCTAATATAATATAATCATCCTTTAATGAAGTGGTCCTGCGGTTCCCAAAGGATGTATTAAGTGAAGACTATGCTTTCATCCCACTGAATTATCAGTGTATTTAGCGTGCCAGTCACACCAGCGCCTAGGTGTCACCATTATCCATTGCTGCTCTTCTCCTTTTCAGGCCTGGTTTTAATTTCCTTTCCACCTTTGCAGCTTAAGTCGGGTGAGAAAGAGGAAACTATGCCACGTGAGCCCACTTATATCTTTATTTGTTGCAAAATGTCCACGATTTAAAAGCTAGTGATCAATTTAGTTGACTTGAATGTAGAGCCAAATTGAAAAATGCATCCTCTGAGCATGTTCAATACCGCAAAACTACTGGCTGTGTGCATTAATGCCTTTTTATGTTGGTGGTTCGTTGGAAAAGCATCTTGAGTACTTATTTCTGCATATATTCTCACCCTGCTTTAGCTGCCGCTAGTCAAGAGGACTTGCACTACACTTTTCATGTCTTTGACTTGCAAGCTGTGAAGGGCCTTGTTCACCGGAGTTTGAAACTCTGGCAGGCGCTTTGCTGCAGCTCTATTAAGGATGCTACAGCATTCCCAAGTGTGGTTAAAGCTGCCTGAAACTGCTGAGCTGGCATTTCACTTCAGACGGGGCTCACAATAAGGGCATACACACAAATCCTCCCCCACTGGGCCAACCCCAAAGCTCACAATTAAATGGCCTTTGAAAATGGCAAAGAGGCTTATGAAGAATAGCCTCGATGGAATCTAACCTTTCCTGGAGCTGCCCTTGTGTGCAGAATTGTTGATAACTTTCTGAGCTGAAAACGTTCAGTTGAGAGGCAAACGCCTTTTAGCTGGAGCAAAATAGCTGCAGCCTTCTTGCGTTCTGCATGTAAAGTACCAGCAAAATCTGCCCTGGCTCGGTACGGGCACTCGACCTCTACAGAAATCACAGCAACCGAGGTTCAGGTCCTTTTAAAACCCTTGCTTTTTCTTGCAAGAGCACAGAGGTGTACCGACAGCTCGCCAGTCCGTTGCTGGGTCTGGTACAGGGTATGAGGCCGAGCGATCCCTGCTGAATTGCCGAGGGTGGCCGTACCAGCCGGGTGGGGGGCACTCTGCCCCACGGATGGTCACTGCTGGGAAGGTGGCAGGGGCAAGAGTTGGGTCTCTCCTGCCTTGACTTCTATAGCCTGAAGAAAGGGGTATTTCCTCTAAGTTGCAACTAAGTTTATAAATAAAGGGGGGAAAAGAGGGGAAATGTACTTGCCCTGCAAATTCAGGCTTTGTCAGTTGCAGCTGAAGCAAATAAAATCATTCCTTACAAAATGTACATCTCCAAGGGAATTAATCTTATACTGTGAAAGCACACTGAGTAGTGGTTTGGGGTTACTGGTATGAAAAATGTCTGAGAACAGTTGGAGTCCAATGTTTCTTTGGCAATGGAAATTTTATTTACAAGATCTTAGGAAAATCAGTTATGTATTTTCAGGAAGAATAGTAAACGCCATAAGCTTAAACCATACACACTAAATTTGCTGTTAGGCCTTACCATAAAAAATGAAAATAAAAAAATCAATACATTACTCATCCATGTAATGTTAATTAGTGATTAACCATGATATTTTTCCACATCTAAGATGATCCTTTTGTTCTTCTATCCAACACAAGCGTGGATTCCATAATCCTGTATAGATACACCTTTGCCAGATATCTGATGGCTTTTATATATGTTAATGTGGAATCAGTGCCTTTGAAGGCTACCAGGTTAACAGCTATGGAGTCTGAAGTGGTCTAGTTTATGCATAGAACAATCTAGGGCTGCCAGCCTAATTTTATAGGGAAAGTCAGGCAGCTTATTTTCAGAGGTTTCTTGTAACTGTGTTAAGTTCTTTTTCTCATTTTAACTACATGATTTGGCATACAAACCATGGTACAATTGCTATTCAAATATCCCCCACTTCTGGGGCTCCCTGCCCATGGGGAAGCAAGCCGGGGGCGGTCAGGCTCATGCCTGGGGAAACTATTGATCTGGGACTGATGGTGGGTGCAAACAAACCGCAGTCCCAGGTCTGGGGGTTTGAATGTTTCGTTGGGTCTGCAGTCCATTCACCTGAATCGCGACATCTCTGGCTACAGGGTTCTTCTGCAAAGAGTACGCTCCCTCCTTTTCCTTTGGGCTCCTGTTGTATAAGCAGAGGCTTCAGGTAGCCAAGTTTTTAGGGACTCAATGTGTCAATGAAACTGTGTCTGTTTTTCTTCAAAAATGCACTGTATACCTGGGTATGGTAAAAGCTGCTGGTGCTACATTCTCTCTGCAGAACCTGCCCATACCGAGCGTGGTAGGAAATGCAGGAGCTCAGGTGCAGGTGGCTCAGATCCACAGGTTTTCACTTGAAACTACCCAGTTTCTGCATTTAAAAAAAACAGACCAAGCTCAGATTTCTGAATGTGATTTCAGCCACCTCCCTTTGCAGGACTCATTTTTTTACCAGAGCAAAGAACAAGACTGCTTTTGCTCTTCTGGTGTCCTCCTCCCTCTTTCACTGCCTTCAGCCACCGCAGGAATTAGGAAGGGGAGGGGGTGCTGAGGTTGATGAGACAAGGCTTGTTTAAAATCCTGTGCTCAACTAGGGCAGCACTATGGCAGCATTTTTTCCTTATGCTCAGTGCTTGTAATCCCTTTCGTTCTTTCTTGCAGTTATGGAGCAAAATCTGGAAATATAGCAAGCTACTGAATATATGGAGGTTACTGGGCCAGTAAAGTATTCAAGTGAATTAAATAAACAGCCTGTCTTATAAGACCAAAATTAAATCGCACTAAGAAAACATGTTATTTTTTCCTTGAGTAGGGGTGGTGTTGAAGTGATTCACTGAAAATTTTAGCCCTCCTTAGCCTGTAAAGGGTAAAAGCATACTTGGGAACATTGCTGCCTCAAAAAGAGAACTCAAGGACCGTTTGTTCTCTAAAACAACCGCATCGTATCAGTCTCCCAGCGCCTGGCTGGGCGCACAGGTGCGTTCAGCCCGCTGGCTGGGTTGTGGTTTAGTCTCTTGGAGCTGGAAGGTGTGTGCTCCGGGAGCTCCACAGCACTGCCGATCAGGTCCTGCTCTCCTGCCTGTTTTCTCCCGAATGATGTGTGCGTGTTGGAACCAGGATGTCCGCTTTTTAAGTACAGAAATTGCAAATGTGATTGCTAGCAACCGTGTGCTACATACGCTTCCCAGAGGTGTTTTCTTATGAATACTTATGGGCATCTTTTAATGTAGCTGAATTCTGTTTGAACAGGTCTTTACTGGCTACAGGATAGATAAGGAGAATCTTCTTTCAAGTTTCCTACGTTAATGGAAACATGATCACATTAGCTATGCTGTCATTAAAAAAAATCATAAAATGTGTAACCTTAGGAGACACGAGTTGCTACTATACCCGCTAACACTTTATTTTGTTGGCTTTCTCACACTGCGTGTCTTTTGGCAACATGTTGTGTTGCAAATCCGAAGACTGCTAGCCTCAATGCAGAGACTGTCCAATTTACATTCTAGTCATACTGCAGCGTTTCATAACCCCACTTTAGCTTTTCCCTGGCTTCCCAACAGCTCTGCCGCCTGACACTGCGCAGGGACCTCCAGGGCAAGGGGAAGGGCCTGGGAGTCCCAGGGAACGAGAGGAGCAGCAACAGTCTTTGCTAAAAGAGACCGTCAGTATGGGGGGTGCAACGCGTTGGCCTGAAAAGCGGTGTAAGCTGGTGGTGGGTCAGGGGGTTGTTGCATGGGGATTTTAGTGCAGATGTTTGGACTGATAGGAAGGATTGCAGCCGCGGCATTGGGTAGCTCTTACCTACCACGTGGTAAAGAGGATGTAGGGTAAAGCAGGCCAAAAATACCATGGATCTCAGTACCTGGTCAGAATTTCCATAAACGCTTTAAGAATTAAGGCCTCTTAAATGTCTGGCCCCAAGTTTGGAGGAACTGGAGAATGATCGGTATGAAACAAAGACTTTTTAAGAATTGGTCGGTGTGCTTACAGATTCCCCAAAACATTTCAGCATATCTGAATACTTGCTGTCTTTTTCGTAGTAGCACTACTTTTAATTTTGTTTCTTGAGCCCGTGCCTAAATGAAGTGCTCTGAGGTAATGCCTCATGTTGAAAGAAGACAAGCCTGCCGCTGCTGAGACCCCCTGCCAGAGCAGCTCAGGCTGCTGGCGGTGGTCTGGCACCATGCTCTGATGTGCAACCGGCATCACTGGCTGTGTGATGGATGGGGAGAGAAATTGTACTTTGCTAACTTTCGTGTTTTGTATTGTAGCCATGAGACGCAAACGACCTGCTGGGATCATCCCAAGATGACTGAGCTTTACCAGTCTTTAGGTAAGACTCCTCTACCAGTTGTTTGGTTTTTTTTCCAATCAAATGAATTCTTAAGGCAAAGATTTCCAGAAGTAGTAAAAAACAAAATTAAGTAAAAGCAAGAAGCAGTGCTTTTATCAAGGTTAAAGTTTTCTGCAAGGGAAATGTGTAACACATAATAGCACATTTCAAACATGCAGTGGAAAAAAATAATATTTCAATTAGCACGTTTGGAATGTGCACTGGGTTTACGAAGTAATTTGGGTGCATTGTGCAAACTCTTACTGAAAGACTGGGACAGAAATTTGAAAAAAAAAAAAAAAATCCTGAATCTTTTCACTGTCTAATCTGCCTTACAAAAGGCAGATGAAAAAATCAAACCAAGCTGCTGTTAATGTTGACTTTTGGATGGTAGGAAGCCAATTGAAGCAATTTGCCAAACTGCGTTACCACTGCTTTATTTTTAAAGCACTTTCAATACGTGGAAGGCATGGCAGCTGTCATGATGTCATTTTGAATACCCAAATTGCATGCTTATTATGACTTCAGATGTGCCTTTCTGGTGGAGGGTTTTTTTTTTTAATTTTTTAGCAGCTTTGGATTTTATTTTATTAACAGAAGCACATCTATAAGATAATATAGGTCAATCCATGCTCTAGTATAGGCTGCTTGGCAGACCATTTAATAGCTCACTCTTTGCTTTTAATGGTTCTGTTAATAAATAATAGAGGGTATAATAAAAACTAAGCTATTTCTCTAAAAGAAATATCAGTGAATATGCTGCATTTATAAAGGAGGTTATGTCTGTACAGCGCACATACATAAACCGGCTTTAAACAAGCCAGCTTGAGCACTAGGGCAGTCAAATCTAGCATTCAGTGCAGGCTTATTTACCGTGGTGAAAAATAGCTTAAATTATCTCCTGCTAAACTCTAGTTTAGCTGCTGAAAACGGTCTAATTATGCCAGCTTAATCTATTTCAAGCTAACTCAGGTATCTCTATGGGGCTCTGCTGTTAACAGCATACCAAAAATCTTTTAGAAAAGTGATATGATAAAATGGAATGAAACAGTGTGAAGATTTTTTCCTCAGAGTATGAGCACTGTGACAGCAATTTGTTTAAAAATTAACCAGAATACAGCTCTGTACGCCAAAAAGGGATATAAGATGTATAAGTTCAGGCTAACCAAAGGCAAAAGCAGACAAGTATCAACTTGCAATTTAATTACAACATATTGCCCTGTTTGTCTCCTTTATATCTGTACTTTTAAAGTGAGTGGTTTAAAAGATTCAGGACAAATAGTAATTGCACATGCAGACATCCGTTTAATACAGGAAGATCTTCAAATAGTTGCCTGTTAATTGAACCGCACTCTGACTCCGCAGCCTACTTTGATCCAGAGATTGCATGGTATTTCTGATACTGTTGTTGGTCAGACCTAAAGTCCTGTTGCAACTGCTTTTCTTCTGGTATTTCCCTGTTTCAGCTAAAGTACTCTTGAATATCAGGAAGTGAAGAGGTAACTATATATAAAGGGAGAAAAGTGTCCTGATGGGTTCAGGTCAACAGTTCAAAAGATGTGTGACTGCTGAAGGCATTTTGCATTTAGTTTAACTGAGTTTTATCACTAAAGCATCACCCAAATGTCAGGAGTTTAAGGTATCCTTATTTCTTACTGCATAAAGGAGGAACACGTTTAGGCAGATTTTGTTTCTTTTTCTTATAAAATCCTGCTGTTTTCCTTTTCAGGAGCAAGGAACGTCCAAAAGGGCAGTCCTCTTTCTAGCTAGTTTTATTTCTTTTGGGGTTGAGACCAACTGCTCATTAATATGGAAACAATGCTGATGTTAGCAAAGGATGCATGATGTGTATTTTTATTAGTAAACATAGGTGTTTGTATAGGTGTACAAAACAGATTAGACAAGGTGATTCTTTGTGCACTGTCACATGGGGTGAAGCTTTGATAAAAGTGCTGCTGAATAACCTACCAGTTTATTTTATTTTATTTTTGAATTGGGTGTATTCATCATTGCCTAACTCTCATACAAATTACATAATACAAGCATAACCCGTTTAGTCTTGAACAGAACCCTTGATGTATTTTCAGTGCTTTGCTTTGCCTCAGGTCAAAAAGGTAATAATGGGATGTTTGAAGTCTTTTCAGACTGTTTAGTAATATTTTATCTGAGAAGATATTATTAAAGTCGATTTTGTATTGCGTACTCATTAGATCCTATTATTTTTCCTCACATTAGGATCCAAATTTTGCTTCTCACTCATACGAATAAGCTGTAAAGAGCTTAGTATGTATGCGTTTTAAAAATCTGGTAGAAAACACGAATTCTGCAATCCAAGTAAATGCAAAAAAGTGAGATGAAGCACATCAATGCTGTCAGGAGTTTTCATTTCCATTTTCCAACTCCTACACTTAGGCTGTAGGGAATAATTGAGCTATGGGATGTAGCTCTCTATACATGCCAGTACATCATAACTTGCTAGGGGATCCTTATGTCTAATTTAAATTCTTACAAATTACTGAAAGCTTATTTTTAAGTGAATGAGGAAGATACAACCTGGCACAAGGTAATGTTCCTCACCTGCCTATGTCTTTGAGCCACAAGAGACAGTTCTGTAAGAAGCAGGAGTAATAGTTTTATTCTGCACATATCCAATTCACACACCTACAAATTGCTGCATTACATTTTGCTAAAATAGATGCATTTCAAGTTTCAAACTTATTGGCTCAGCTTTCTGTCTTGAGAGTTCTGGGTATTTATAAAAATGAAGCTAAATGACTTGGGAGCATTATTTGGTACTAATAAAAGAAGGCAGGAACATGCTGCATACACTTTTGTATCTGATCAGATTGTCAGTCCGGGAAGCCCTGTGTCCTGTCTTCAGTAGGACTGCATCAGAGAAAGCAGAAGGAACCCATAGGAAGAAATTATAAAATAACCTGTCCATGAAGGAAGTATTCTCAAATTCTTTTTGAGCTTATTTGTTGAAACAGGGCCATTTATAAATGTACTAGTAACAAGGGTAAAATATTTGATTTAAATTTAATATATGTATCAGAAATTTCTAACTGGTTGTTCTTTTAACAGAAGCTTTTCCTTTTAAGATACTAAAGTGCTTGCTCTGGACTGCTCTTCTTTATTATTTAAACAACATAGCAATTTTATTAGTTTTAATGAAGCGTTTATTCCTGACTCAAGTAGGGCAATTTTTGCTCTTCATTCAAAGTTATGGCTACTTAAAGGTATATAATAAACTGTTGATATTAAATGACTTAATTGATGTTTAATGGTCAACTCAAAGTGGCAACAGGTAGTTGCAACAGTGACCTTAGCTGTGTTGTTTAATGTATCTAGTAGATGTTGATATTGTTTGACTAGTTATAGAAACTAAAAACATAGGGAAAAAAGAAAACAAATACTGAAATAGGAGAGGTAGTAAAAATCAGTGATGTGTGAATCTCAAAGGTTCAGAGGCTGACAGACATCTCCCGGTTTGCATTTACACCGTTACAAACCACTCCCATTTTCTTCAAACTTCCCTCTGAAAGTCTTCAAAGTACCAAGAACTGCTCCAGCTGCTTTTCTTTCCAAAAGCAGTTCCCCTGCAGCAGATCTGCTTTTTTACACCGTTCTTTCACAGCCCCCTTACAAATTTTGTCATCCTTCATGGTGGCTCCAGGGCATCACTGAAATGAGAATTTGTGTTATTTCATTGTCCTGGAGAGTTCAAGGACCTTTGGGTGAGGGGAGGGACAGGAAGAGCAGGAATCAAAGTGGTCAGGGATTGCTTAATTTTTTTCAGATTCTCTTCTGAGAGTGAACATTTAGTGGCAGGCAGCTTAGCTCAGAATGATAGTATTTTGCCTTTAAGCAGAAAATGACTCCAACCTTTGCAGTGACGGCCCAGGAGAACTTTGCCTGCCATGCCATACTGTTAGTGTCCCCCTCCTCCAGCCTTCCCATGTAATGTCAGTACAAGTCTCCGCAAGGTGCATTAGTGTCACTGTGAACAGTAATTACAGTAGCAGGATGCGGTCAGAAATGTTGCTGTGTGCATCTGTTTCTCTCTCCTAATTCACCGAGGCGAGACACGAGGGTGAAAAACACCCTCACCCTTGCAGACTGCAGTGCACTGTGACAGCTTTCCATTTAATTTGGAAGGATGCGGGGGCAGTTCTCTGTGGAGGACACGGAAGAAAGGTCGGAGTTGCTTAACACAGGGAGGGAGAATGCTGGAAGTTGCTGTGTTGATCTTGTGGCTGGCTGCTCTTGTGCAGCAATGTGAGCTTCCAACTCTGAATGACCAAGGTGAATAAACTTCATCATTTTCAGTTTGTGTATTTTGATTTGTCCTTCTGAAATGCTGCCTGAAGAGGCTAAACTGCCCTCTCTGCCATAATAGTTTTTATTACAAACTACTAAACCATGTACTGAGTATGAGGTTTTATTCATATTCAACTAATTGCTTTCTATGTTTGTACTAGAAAGACGTGCCTAATGCACACATCAATCGTTTGATTTCTACTGAAATTCAGCAAGATGATACATATGGTCGTTCTTTAAAGGTTCTTTATTCACTGATGTCCTTTTCAAGCTAACTACAATCTGAATAATAAAACTTCTTATTTCAGAAAATAGGACTGGTTGGGTTTTGTCAACCTTGGATAGTAGTCAGACCTGGAGTAGGTCGTTTCTAACAGTGTATGATTGCATCCTGTGTAGGCATACACCTAACAGACAATAAACGTAACTATGGCAGCAAAGTAGAAGTTAGGTGGTAGAAGTTAACGTTGCGTCCCTTGAAAATTAAACCATAGGGATGTTATCAGTGAAGGAGAGTAATGTTCTGTTATGGAATAGGTGACCAGTATGGGAACATTTTGCTCGAGTATTGCACTCTTGGTTTGCAAATGGACACCTTTCATTAATATTTTTGAAGATGTTTGTTTGCTATTTATTTATTTTAGGATTTTCCATTATGAGTACTTGTCATCTAGCGTACA